GTGTGCTGCTGGTGACAGCGAGGGGCTCACGGGCGAAAACGCTGCACGGTACGCCACCGGTACAGCAACACTCAGTGTACACTCAGTGCCAAGAGCGCGGCAAACCTAACAGCACCCACGCCCGCAAAGGTAAGTACGCCTCCCCAGAGAGTAGTACGCGCCACGCCGCCACGCCGCCGCGCTCCATGCCAAGAGCGCAAACACCCCCTCGCGGCGGCAGCAGTACAGTCAGTGCCAAAAGAGCACGCCACCAACGAGGTACAGGCAGCGCCAAGAGCGGCGCACCTGCACTGCACGCACAAAGACTGAAATTAGACGCGCGTGTACAGTCACGCAAAGCACGCATCGACTGCGGCGCACTTCGACCGAACTGGAAAACACGAGATTTCCCGAACAGGCCGCAGCGAAAGCCGCAGGATGGCCACCGAGTGCAAGTGGCCGCAGTGTACCAGCAAAAAGGATCGAACCGGGAATCCCATGTGTACAAAACCATATCGTGAAAACAAAAACGCGCTCCGTCGCGAGGGATCGACCCATCGACCTCTAAACCGCGTAGCGCCGATGTTTCGTCATTGTCATGGACATCTCGGTCAGGGTGCGGTGCGGCGCGGCGCGGCGGGGTGCGCATTGCTGCACCTGTGGCCTCCAAATGCCGCAAGGCACGGCCTGCTTGCGCGAACAGCCTGGCGCGCACGGCACGGCGCGGCACGGCGCAGGCACGGCACAGCAAGAAGGCGAAGGACCACCAGGACCTTCCTCCGCCCCCTCGGCGAGTCAACGACCCACGCAGATGGGCCGCGGGCAAGCCTCGGGCAAGCCTCTAGGCCTCTGGCATGGCAGGGTGGCTGAGTAATTCATAAGCACGTCAATGCCCTGCTCGCTCGAAGGCTCGGCCTGCTCGCTCGGCCTGCTCGCTCGGCACGGCGACAAAGCCCCTCAAAATAACGAGGGCCATCGCCCGGCAGGTAGGCAGCCCGGCCGCGCGACGCACCGGTCCGCAGCGGCTGCCTATGCTCAGCCGTGCGGCGGCGGGCTAGGCAACCCGCGGCGTGCGCGTGCGTCGCGCGCGGCTGCGTTGCCTACCGGTCGGGGGCTTCCGTCACTTCCGTCGCGCTGTCTCTCCCGCACTCGTGGGGGACGCCCGGGCCGCGGGGGTGCGAGAGAGACAGCGCCAAGGATGTTTGGGTGTCCGGCGTGCGTCCGGCGTGCGTCCGCTCTCCGCAGTGACCCTCGCGTGCGTTTGCAGGCAGTGCAGGCAGCCCGTCAGACCGAAACGCACCGGGGGCAAGGGGAGGGGGCGGTTATTTCGAGCAGTTGATTGCTGCCAAAGCCAAGCAGGAAGCATAGCGGTGCAACACTGCAACGCGCAGCAGCCCGATTCGCATTCTCCGTCCCTCTCGCACCCGCGACGGGCCGGACGGGCCGCGCGACGCCGCCGCGAGTGCGAGAGAGAGGGAGAGAGGCGTTCGCACGGAAGGAGCTCCGACGGCGCAAACACCGCGGCAGCCATGCGGCCATGCGGGGCATCGCCAAAGCGCGTTCGATCCGGGCCGCCCCGCCTGGCCCCGCCTGGCCCGGCCACCGAGAGGGACAGCAACAACAAAGACACGTTCCTGCACTCGAAAAACCTTGCCCCTCAAACAAATACTTTGTTATCATAGCAAAGTAGGTATTTTGCGCATACAAAGGTCTCCTATTGCGCTTGGCAGATAATACCTTAGGCTACTCGAGTCGGCGCCAGCCATTTAGCCCCCCAGTTCCCTTCATTTTAGCACACACACACACACACACGCACGCACACACACACACACATACACACACGCACACACACGCACGCACGCACAAACCCATGTGGTGCAGGTGTCCGCGCGAGCACACGCGACGGGCGAGTCCTTCCCTCTCCCCTGCCTTTCCCCGCCCCCTCCCCCTCCCCCCTCCACTTGAAGCTCCCGCGGGGCAGTGACCCGTGCGGGAACTGCAGGGAGGAGGAGGCGGCCATGCAGCCGGGCTGCCACAAAGAGACTTGACGCCGCAGCAACGCCAGCGAGCACAAAGACAATTTCTCATAGAGGACGCTAGGGGCGTTTCATCCGCCGCGTTCGGGCAGACGCCTTAACATGCACCCCACGCGTGGTCGGGTGGCAGCTGAGGAGACCTGGGAGAGCGAGCGAGAGAGACACAGTGGATGCGGAAATTAAGAGAATTCCACCTGTCGCAATCGCAAGCTGCACCCGTCTCCTCCGCGTTCGACTACATCGATTTACATTTCGATGCTTTCCAGTTTGTTCTTCCGGCCGGAAATGGTCCGGCACGCTGGCCTCGGCAGGGCGACAGTCACATCGCTCTGTCTCTCTCGCACTCATGGGGCGTCCCCTGTAGGTGCGAGAGAGACGGCGCGACGAAAACGACTCTCAGTCTGCAGCTTCGCAAGGACGGCGATCGGGCCGAAGTTGGCGCAGATTTAGGGCGACCGTGCTCAGGGCGGCCGCCTCCAGCTCCAGGCCCTAGAGGCCCTAGAGGGCCGGCAGACCGATTCCGAGAGTCGCTTTCGTCGCTCCGTCTCTCTCGCACTCATGGACGACGTCCCGTATAGGTGCGAGAGAGACAGAGCGACGAAAACGACTCTCGGAATCAAGTCTGCAGGCAGGGCCACCCATCGATGCCCTCGGTCGCTTCGTGGCGCTCATGGCCCAAGTTGGCTGGCGGCGCTCTCCAGCGGAAGGGGGGAGGGGAGGGGGGGAGGGGGAGGAGGAGGGGGAGGGGGAGGGGGAGGCTCTGGGCGGCTTCTTGAGCGGCTTCCACGACGCGCGGCCCGAGCACAACAACGGCCAGAGGGAGGAGGAGAGCACGCCGTCAACCGGGAGGCCAGTCATGCACGTGCAGCAGCTCTTTGACACCGCGACACCTTCTCTCTTCTTCTCTCTTCCTTCCGCCGCGGCGACAGGACAAGGACAGCGACAGCTCAAATTTGTTCCGATTGTGTTCATGACACACGGCAAAACTGCGCGCCGCGCTGCGGGAAACCGCGACCCGTGATTTCGCTCTGTCCCACTCCTTGCCTTCCCCCCTCGCAGTGTGCAGTGCACTGCCGAGCCGCAGCGCGGTGTCACCGCGTCGACCAATTTGGCGTTACCAACCCAACGCGGCGAAGCACACCCCAGCAAAGGCATTCTGGTGGAAAGGTCCGAGGGCCACTACACCGTAGAGGGAGTGCGATAATCCAGCGTGGACGCAGCAGCTGCCTTAAGTCGGTCCAGATCACGACTGCCAGGCCTTTGTCGCCGCGTCGCACAGTGGGCCAGAAGACCCGTGAAGGCGGACAAAACCCTAGACGCGTTTCGAGCTCCAGAGTCGCTAAACAGGCCTCGAACCGAACGTGTGACCCCACCAATGGATTCCTCGTTCGGAGAGCAATCCATTGGTGGGGTCACACGTGCGGTTCGAGTCCCATTTAGCGACTCTGGAGCTCAAAACGCGTCTAGAGTTTTGTCCGCCTCCGCCGGTCTTCTGGCCCACTGTGCGTCGCCGCGGTACCCGTTCCCTCTCCAGCGCAACTGCCGCGGAGGCAGGTCCAGTTAGACGCTTGTTCTCCGACGCGGCGGCGCAACGGTGCGCCAGGCCCCGCCAGGCCCCGCCAGGCCGACCCCGAACAGAGCGCTCTCTGTCTCTCTCGCACTCACGCGCGCCCCGCTGCACTGCGAGAGAGGCAGAGCGCGGCGCCGCAGGACGCGCTCAATGCAAGCCGAGCCGCGACGCACGACGGCAGGGACCGGCGGGGACCGGCCCCAAACGGGGAACCCAGGGGAACCCAAGCCGCAGGCCCATTTCAAGCAGCCAAATTGGAATTTCATGTTGGGTTAATTGCCCGTCGGTCCGATTGTGGTCTGGGAGCCGCCGCCGCCGCCGACTCAAGTTGCCCAAATTTTTGTGTACAATGGTGCGAGCGATAATTTTCCAGTGGTGCGTTTTCAGCAGGCCGAGTTGATTTTTCCAGCGGGCCACTGGAGAGACGCTGCTGCAGCCTGGAGCGCTCCGCGCGGTTCAACTCTTTGTCTGGCCCCCGCAGTCTGGATCTGGAAGTTTCATTTTCCTTTTTTTACGGGTGTGCCGTCGCCGTCTACCCTGCCCTGCCTACCTCTCGGGCGTGCCCTGGCCGTACGCCGTCGTGCAGCGGTATTTCCTGGCCGACCAGTGCTTTGGGGGGGGGCATCGGCGCCGTACATACAGAGTGGACGAGAACGCCACGCTCGATGCCGCCACGCCAGAAGCCATGGAGTCTCCATTCATCGGGCGGTCCGAAAGTGTTTCTGCCTCCCTCGCACACCTTCGGGACGCGCCCGAGGGTGCGAGAGGGCCAGCGTTGCAGGACTCTGGAGACGCTGCAGCCCGACAAGCAGGCCGTGGTCTTCCCCGCAGCGCACGGCACGGCACTGCAGGACGCGCAACAAGCCCGCACGGCCGTGACGCGTGTGGTGCGTGCTGCGCGTGCAGCACCAGGGGCGGGAGGGGGGGGGGCTGCCAGCGCAGCACGGGGCGCAGCACGCCAGCTGACCACCAAAACAAAGGATGCACGCGCTGCAGAGCCACGGCCTGGCACGGCCTGCTCCGCTGCACCTCACGCAGCACCCCCGCACGCACGCTGCACGCTCTCTCGCACGCACGGCCGCGGCAGCATCATCAGCTGGCGGGCCTGGCGGGACGGTGGTGGCTGGCACACTGCTGGCACGGCGCAAAAGCGCATCCGGGACGCATCACTCGCGGTGCTCGCGGTCACCAGCAAAATCGATACTCGGGGCACACCAATGACACCAGTGACACCAGCGACTGGGCCTGCACCGCCAGCTCCACGCACTGCAGCGCCTGCAGCGCGCCGCGCGTGCGGGACAAAGGGGGCGGCGTCAACACCAAGATGGCCTGGTCCTTGGTCCTTGTCACAACAAAGGGCAACAAAGGAAGCACCCCGACGACGAGGCGACGAGGCCTCCGCGCTGGCCACGCACCTTCTGGTCATGCAGGGCCGGGCGTCGCGTCCTCCCCCCTGTCTCGGCCTCTGCTCCGGGGCAGTCCTCTGGCCGTGCTGCTCCAGGGCCTGGCTGTGGGGGCCACCAGCTCGCAGGACTTCGCAGCTCCGCTCCGCACACAAGCCGACGGCACGGGGCTCGCGAGTGTCTCGGGCAGCGCTCGCTCGCGTACTGAGCTGGCCGCCTGCTTCGATTTATTTGGATGGCTGCCCTGGCTGCCTGGCTGCTGCTTGGGTTGTTGTGGTGCGCACAAGCGCTGCGCACTGGTCCGACCGGTGGCGCCCCTGGCGGCGGCGCGGCCAAGCTCGCCTGCCAGCGCCAGCGCGCCAGCTCCGCGGGATCGCCGCGCGCTCTAGAGGCGCGAGGGCCGAGAGTCGTTTTCGCCGCTCTGTCTCTCTCGCGCTCGTTCTGAACTACCAATGAGTGCGAGAAACACACAGCGGCACGAGGACTCTCGGAGCCAGCCTGCCGTTTCCGAGTTTCCAACGCCACTCGGCTCCGCTTCGGCTCCGCTTCGGTACTCGGCCGAAGGGACTTCGGCGGGGAGGGGGCGGGCAGGGCGCAGGGCGTAGGGCGTCCAGAGTTGTCGCGGTCAGACACAAGCCGAGGACGGGGCGACGGGGCGGGCGGCGTCGCGTGGCGTCGCGACGCCCTATGAGACGCTGCACTGCGAGGCTGCTCGGCCTGGGCTTCCTGGAGGCAGCCACGCCGAGCCGCGCGCACCCCAGCACCCCAGCAGCGCCTCGAAGCCCGAGCGAAGCCTGTTGCTGATGGGCTGCCATTTGCATGGCCGCGGGGGAAGGCCAGGCTAGGGTGTCCGCAAATCACGTAGCGCCCGCGGGAAGGGTCACCGTAGGGTGGAGTGTCTCATCCAGCTCAGGGCCGCCAACGCTGCCGTTAGGCCGCGGAAACAGACACCACACAGTGGCCCACTATTTATCCAGAGCGGAAGCGACTAGGTTCATTCTCTCACACTCGAATGCTGAAAAAGAAATGTAGAGTCGTAAACGGGAGTGAATAGAGCCGGGCGGAAATCGCGAAAGGCAGGCGAGGCGCGGCGCGAATGAATCGGACTAGACTCTCGAATTAATTCGACGGAGCTGCCATGAATTAGCCTGAATTAGCCTACGCTAACGGGATTCCGACTACTGTGTTCCAGTGGTGGTCGTTTTTCCGCCGTTTTCACAGTGGGGACGACGCGGCGGGTCGTGGCCCCGGCCTGCGCGGAGTCACCCCTGCCGCTTGCCTCGGCTTGCCGCCACGCGACCCTCTAACAGACGGACTGCTGGAGGCGGCCGGGGCCGCGACCAGCCGCGACGCGACGTCCTAAAGGATTCAAGAACGAATCCGCTGCGAGCGCGCGTGACGGCGCGACAGTGTACTACTACAGTGTGTGTACTTGTACACTGGCCCGACACACACACACGCTCTAGTCAACACGACACACAAAACTTGTGCGCGTCGTTCTGAGTTTTTATTTGGTTCCGTTTGTCTGTGTTTTTCTCGTGTCGTTTCGCGGCTTGGCGGCGCAGTGCCTCGCAGTGCCTCGCAGTGCAGGGAGCCACCGTGCCCGTCACGTGCACCGCGCCGCGCGCCGCGCCCCCTATCGGTGCAGCAGTCCCTCTCGCGCTCAAGGGGCGTCCCTGCAGGAGCGAGGGAGACAGAGCGACGGAATCGGTCTGCAGCCGGTGCAGCCCAACCCGCTTATCGGCTGGGACGTGCAGGGCGGCAGGGTGGCAGGGCGGGCCGTCCTCCAAACGGCGGCTCTCCGTCTCTCTCCCTCTCGCCCTTCCCCCGCGAGTGCGAGAGAGACGCGACGACGGCGGCGTTCGGAAGGCCGGGGAGGGACGCGTCCGGAAGTGGAGCACTTGTGCATAATGCAGTGTGTAGTGCGGGCGTTGGCGGCGTCCGCGGCGTTAGTGCAGGGATCCAGGCCGGCCTTCACCTTGCCCACCTCGCGTTCGAAACGCGGCTTGGGCGCACCGCCAGCCAGCGCCAGCCAAGCAGTGTAGTGTTTTCTAGCGGACCGTTGCGTTCGCCGCGCTGCCTGGCTACCTGCCTGCCTGCCTGGGAGTGTGACGCAGGTGCGGCAGACGGCTGGTAGACGGCCGGGCCGGGCGTGAGCCATAGAGTCCCGGGGCCCCGGGGTCCTGGGTACGGCGGCCCGGGGCGGCGGGGTCGCCGTCGTCTGGGCGGCGTGGCGGCGTGGCAGTGTGGCGGCGTGGCGGCGGCGTCTTTGGTGGGCGACAAAGCCTGGGCTGTTAGTAAACGGGAAGCGCGGCGCGTCGCGCGGCCGGCATCAAAACAAACGTCCGCGAGGTCCCTCAACCGCCGCGCCGCGCCGCGCCACGCCGCACCACGCCGCACCACGCCAAGTTCGGGGCGACGGTCCTGCCGCTGTCTCATACTGTCCTCGCGGACACGGCGAACGCGACGGCCTGACCGTTGCCTACATCTCCCCTCCGCGACCGGCCACCTTCCTCGCGTCACCGCCTTGCTGCGGACGCGCTGACACACAATAAAGTTTAAGGCACCCGAATTCAACAATTAGCATCGACCACGTTCGTTTTAATTTTTATTGTTTCGAAATGATTTTGGGACACAGGTTTCTGACTCACCCACAGCAGACTGATTCGCTCTGTCGCACCGCGGGGCGTTCCCTCGCGGTGCGGAGACAGAGAGTGCCCGGAGGCCCGGCCGGAGGCGTGGCGCGCGATGGTGGCGGTGGAGGCCGAGGTAATGAAGCACGACACGCATTTCCAGTGGCGGTACTTCCGGATGACCAGGCCAGCCGCCGTCATAAAGTGACGACATTTACATTGCGTCTGTGTGTGTGTATGCGTGTTTCGCAACCGAGCATCGTAAATGTTTAGCCGACGACGGCCGGGCGGGGCGGGGCGGGGCGGCGACGTAAGTACAACGCACCGGCGGCGTGTCGAGCCGTGTCCCAATCCATGCCGGCTGCTTTTACCGAGTTTGTACGCATTAGCTTTCTACCGACGCGGCAGTGAGCATGAAAAGCGCCACTCAGGCGCCTGCAGTGGATTTGCCAGAAGGCCGGTGGAGGCGGCCAAAACGCTAGACGCGTTTTGAGCTCCAGAGTCACTAATGGGACTCGAACCGGACGTGTGACCCCACCAATGGATTCCTCGTTCGGGGAGCAATCCATTGGTGGGGTCATACGTTGGGTTCGAGCCCCACTTAGCGACTCTGGAGCTCAAAACGCGTCTAGAATTTTGGCCGCCTGCGCCGGTCTTCTGGCCCACTGTGGCCTGCGAGTGAGTAGGCAGGCAATTCGCATTTGACAAGTCCTCTGGAAACGCTTCAGCCACTCAGTCAGTTCTTCGGCAGAGCTAGGGTGCCCATCATTGCCGACCCATCACGCTCGGCACACAACGTACGGTCGCCTCGCGGCCCACGTGACATGTGCCCGTCCAATCTCGTCCCGGTGCCGTCCCGGTGCCGGCGGCCAGCACGGCCACGCCACGGCAATTTCGGCAATCGCGGCATTGGCTGTACCGTTAAGGACTGGGTAATGGCAATCAGAACCCCCCTCCCCCCTCCATTACCTCTCCCCCTCTCTTTGACCTGGAACGAGTCCCCAATCCCAAATTCGACCCTCTTTCGCGTGGGCAGGAAATTGACCGGATCCTCTCCTCCCATACTGTCCCAGCCCCCCCCCCAATTTCACCCGAAATCCTCGAATGCGCGCCCCGGGCGGGCTGCATATTTGGGTCGTGTATTCGGCTAGTGGAACGTCAGCGGCGTTCGTGTCCGTGCCTCATTGCTGGAATCTCAGCGGCGTATCCCCGTTCCCACGTTGTGTTACGCGCGTGCACGTGTGTGAGTGAGAGGGAGATAGATTCCGTGCGGAATGGCACCCCATTGCGGTGCACCCACACCCACCCACACACACACACACACACACACACACCACACACACACACAGACATTACACGCATGGCGGGTCCGGCGCTAGCGCACTACACTAGGTGGTTATGACACCCCACCAACTACCTGTCAAGCGAGCGGCGAACTCCAATCACCTCGGAAGGCGTGCTCTGTCCTCCCCGCCCTTGGACTTTACCTCCACCACGACCTCCTGGCATAGTTTCTCGTACAGCCTTTTGAACCGCGGAAAAATATTAACTGCCACCTTTTTCGCATTGAATGTGTCATTGCGAATTTTGCATAATTTATGCAGAACCTGCTGGGAAACGCCGTGAACGACCTTTTGATTTCGGGTATGTTTCCCCTCGTCAGGTGTCTCATATGGAGCAATGGATGGAGAGGCCGTGACCCCGTCGCCACGGTCAAGATCGAAAGGGCCAGCAGGACGCAGGATGTCAATGCGGAATTCGTTCTTTGAATGCCTTTCGCTGAGTTATTGGTCTATTGGTGTAGCAAACTTTGTTTGTTGGAGTGAATTTGAAAAGGGTTCGGAGCGATTTTCAAGTTGTTTCCCTTGCCACGGTTCTGACTGCCACACGGGCAGCCAGGACAGCCAGGGCTGCGCTTGAAGCCCACTGCGCAGCGAGGAGCGAAGAGCACCGCCTGTCCTGGCCCAGCCCGGCCGACGCTCTCGCGCCCCTCCCCGCCCCGCCCCGCCCCGCCCCGCCCCGCCCCGCCCCCCGCCCCGCCTCTACCCGTGGCGGCGTGGCGGTCCGCGCAGCGGGTTGCGCGCCCACTCCGGTGGCCACGACCGCCGGTCCGGTGACCGCACTGCGCCCCTCTGCCCCCCCCCCCTTTTCCCTCCCCCTCCCCGCCACGCCACGCCGCGTCTGACGGCGCTGTCACGGGCTCAAGATGCATCTTCTTGGAGGCGGCGGCGACGCTGTGACTAAGGACCGCCAGGCAGGCCAGGCAGGCAGCCGGGGGGCACAGTGTCGCTGCAGCAGAACCGTCGGCCACCCTCGCCGAGGGTCCGACGGGGTCGAGCCCCACAGAGGCCTTTTTAAACACCTCGTGTTTTATTGTGGCTTGGTGTTACTAGCAATGCAAATTTGAAGTCAACGAGTGGGGTTCGAAAAACGCCAACGATGGTGCGTGACACGACCACACACACACACACACACACACACACACACACACACACACACACACACACACACACACACACACACACACACACACACACACACACGCACGCGCGGCGTCACTTCACTTCCTTTTCACACTTACACGCACACACGCGCACACACACACACTCACACACG